AAAACCGGGGACCTTCCGCGTTTGAGGTGAAAGGTGATAAATAACAGGTTGTGTGCTCAACTCCATCGCCACGGACCACTAGCGACACAAATGGTTTATGTTGAGTGCAGGGCACAGCTAATGTACGCTGGTCTGCCATAAAGTGGGCACTCACTGATCAGTCGCATGAACCACCGATTGGCCGTAATTGCATGCTACTTGTCACAAAAAGCAGTCGAGTCATGCGGTAATTCTCATGAACCTATCAAGACTGTGTGACTAACCAAGCAAGTTCTCGCGCTACTCTGCACTCACACTGCCGAGCCGGTTCTGATCCCCACTGCATCGAGGATCAAGCTACCAGATAAATCCTCCTATCTGCGGCCATGCAGAATTGTCCCCCTTGCTCCCGACTCACACACAAAACCCTGTCCCTGGGGTTCTCCTCTTTTCTCTTTTTTCCCACCTTATAATATCTTATTCCATGATCATACATCAAGTGACAGCCCATGACTTCACAATTTATCCTTATGGCGTATGTAGGTGCCACTGGATGAAACAGCATATTCGAAAAGCCTAGCCTCACGCACAGCTTAGTTCCCAAGACAAAATGAGCAAAACCCGATGTATCGGAAATCGGAACATGTGGTTCTATAACAGCAATGTTAGACTTACAGAAATAAACTACGATTAAATCTATGTACATAGTCTGAATGTTGCTCAGCTGTGAGCTGTAACAGTTTCGATGGTCTGTACTCTTGAAACGGACCGCGGTGAACAGCAGCGACAATGAAAGTGCACGGTTGTGGTTTGTGATTGCGACACATCAACTGGTCCCACTAGCACGGATAAACTGTGGTCGCTGTCCGGTTTTATAATGTGGATGGTTGTGCTCAAATGGACAGGAAATTTGATATTCCAAGATATCCATGTAGTTACGAGTTGATCGATGAAGATGCAAAATTGTAAATTTGCAATCTGTGAATTTGTGTTTCACAGTATTACCTACATCGATTATCGCGTCAGTGATTTCTTTTCAGCATCCGCCCTATCAGATCGGTCGGGTAAAGCTGGGGCATTCCCGTGGGATAGGTAGGCATTTTGCTTCCGAACCATTTGCGGAAGATTGCAGTGTCTTACTCAATTTACGATTGCCAATCTCAAATAACCATACACTTCGCCTCTCTGGTGATGTTCAATCAGTGAACTGTTTGTAATGTTTACGGTGTCGGTACCTCATTCACCTAAAGTGCTGTACACCATCTGCTTAACTGGATCCCAATCAATGGCAATCATATATGCACGCCTCGAACTGGAACACTAGTCCGAGCTGATAGACTACACTGGCAGATGCAGTACTGTTTTAGTGTCCGAATGTACTCACCCACCGACCGCAGCTCCGAAACCATTTAGAGCGATTCCGTCTTACATCCATTTGATCAGGAATGTAGTCACGGTGAGCGTCCGAGCAGAATTTATAGATCGTTTCTGCGCCACAGCTTGCTATACTGACGATGGTAGTTGGTTTCTCCAAGTAGGTACCAACAGCAACTTTTATGTCAGCAACAACCTTAGTACAAACGTTCCCACAATTTCACATGGTGATCCACCAATTGATTTGGAGTACCTGTCTAGAATTTCATCATAATCTGACGTACGCCCGCTTAACGCTCACTTTCCAGACCTCAGTAAGTTGCCAAACTACGAAGCACCTCGCGGCATGCCAACGTCCAATATCAGCTCACGTTTGAGCTCTTGCCATAACTGACGAATAGTTCGGTTTAGTTAGTTTGGGTGCAAAACTGCAGAGGGTGCAGTTGCCACGACTCAAATCGCCAGATTGATAGTAAATCACAACGGCAAGGAAGTGAGGTTGAATGCAAACAGAATGTAAAAAGAAATGAAATCAAGTCCGAAATGCGTTAGAGTATTTAGGATGGAATGAGAATTAACAATCAGATGTAAACACCTGAATGCAAGAACGCCACTGACTGCGCGACTGCGTCATGTCTGATACGGTCTCCGACCATTAGTGTGGACCATCCCGAGGTCCTCATCCACGAAGACAACACACACCAGCCTGCTCAAGTCTCTCAGTCTGTCTCCATGTCTTTATGCCACACCATCGACTGGTCCGCTTGCGCTTTCGTCCAGCTTGGTGTTGCCACGGCGTATAATGCATGTCGAGGAGGCCGGTCAACGGGCATACGGAGGACGGTCAACGGGCATACGGAGGACCTGTCCTAGCTAACGTAAGCTATTAAGATCCAACAGACACTCGAGTGAGGCGCCAGAAGGTTTCTTGCCGAAAACCAACCGACGGACCTAAGGATTGTTCACCCGGTGTTCCCACCAAACTTGAACAATACTACATAAGCATCGATCACCTATTTCGGCCAATCGTTTCATAACTTCGCTGGGAACTGGCCAGGTCTCTGATCCGTAGAGTAACACAGGCCTTATCGCAGTGTTACACACCTTACACTGACGTGCTGCTATTCTACAGTCCCCATATATGGTTAATCCTTTGAAAAGCCACATGTTGATACGCAAAGTAACTTCCTCAGTGACACAGCTGCCAAGATGTTGACGAACAAACAACAAAGTTACTGAGCTTTGTGTTAACTGGAGTTAACTCTAATGAGCCATAGGGAAGCTCCTATAAGCCACTCAGTTCCCTGGGTTGATTCATCTGAATGGTGGCTAGTCCCTGAGGCGTCAGTCAGCTTATTTGAGACAAGGAGAGTTAGTGCACCCGGTGGTCAGATTAACGGTTTTCGCAACACCCTGAAGCCATATCCGATTATGAGCTGTAAAGTGAGTAGCCAGCTTTAGTTGATTGCAAGTGCCATGCGGATGAAAAAGAGATGGTGTCATCAATAAAAGCCTACTACTGGCAGCTCTTGCGATGCACGACTACACGAAAGCCATCGATGATTGAACATTTAACTGAAAAGGACAGGCAGTTCATGTACTTTCGGAAACACTGACTTTATCGTTTAACGGAATCTTTTGCAAAGTATTTCAGTCAGCATGATGTTTCCACAGTCTTCTGACTCATCTAAATGACCAATCCGAGCCACCGGTATTCCGGATCATCTAGGAACATCTGAATCATCCCTGAAGGTTCCCACCATCGCACATGCCCGATGTAAATTTACATTGCTGCTTGCGAGAATTAGCACCTGAACGCGTCGAAATCTGTCAAGCGCTGAATGACAGTAGTGACTCGGTTGCAATTATTTAACTTCGTATGTAACCTTAACGAGTAACTGTCCACTTATGTGTTGACAGCTATCGCCAGTATTGATAATCCAGTGTTGCGAGAATCGTCCGAGTCTGGGTGCTATTTCAACTGCCTCCGAATTGCTAACGAGCATCATACTACTGCTGTTTACTGGAAACGCATACACCGAAGATCAGGCTAGCCTCTACCCTGGTGGATGTTACATCGACACCATGTTTGCACCAATCTTTTTACTGAAGCAGCTACATGTATGTAGCCGACTGTTATAATCCAACGTCCACTATCGCAATTCTGAACGAACGCAAAAAAACAAAAGGCTCACAGAGGTTTCACAACTCAGATCACGGATGAACAGAAAAATGGGCTTCCAGTCAGTGGCCCAACCCCAACAGGAATACGACAACACCAATGAACGAGATCTATAATGATGCCAATTCAGGCGACAACTAAAGAAGGCACTTAGGTATTTATAAATCTAATGGCCTTGTGAGATCTGCCAATCGCATTGCTTGTCTTAGGCAGAAAGGGGTTTGTGTGCGCTGTTTACATGTCGAAATGATGGCTGATAATAATTTCAAATCTAACATTTTTTCCAACACCGACTGGATGTAATGGTATTCCCCGACATCAAAGCCATCGTCACTTCGGCTACCCTAGTCCCCTTTTGACCGTGCTATTTTTGGGTTTCACCAGAATATTACCTTTATATTCCGAAATCTATTCACCGATATACTGTGGAGTCCCACGAATCCATCTTGAGTTCCCCATGACAAGACAATTCAGTAGAACCCCTCAATCTCTCATCTTCTCTATCACTATGTGTTAGCGAGTGACCTTCGCCAGGTGACCCCCTGAAATACCTGAAATACGTGGATGACCTGACCCTGTTGTTTGTGGTACTGCCAGTGAACCACATGCTTTGGCATGTGTTTTCACCTTTGGCGCTCACGGTTTGTTCTCCAAGACGTGACAATCAAACCATGGATTTTCGCTCTATCGCATAATCAGCCGAAGTGATAAGTCGTTTCATGTGCATACGGTGTATTGCGATCAAATGAAAGGCTACTCGTAGCAGCTATTTGTCCTGAAAAGCTGAGTTTAGACGACGCCAGTGAACGTGCCTGAATTTTTTAACCTTAAATAAAGGTGAAACAAAACGCGAATTCCCGGGTTAACTGCTTGGTTGACTACAGGTGGCTCTTGCTCTCCGGCCCATCGAACGAATCATTTTTCTTGTCGTTTGTTCTAAGCATTGTACAAACGTCTTTGGACCTCCGCTTTAGTATTTAACTATGCGGACTCTCAACCCCACGTCTTGTGATATCGGTGTTCCCCTTCAGCTAACCCCCGTGACCTTCTTGTCCGATTTTGGCTCATCCTATCGGGTGTTCTAGGTACTCAAAGATGTTAACGGAAGGGTTGATTCGATTCCACTCAGGACATCACAATCCGATCAGCATAAGCTTTATGCACCCAGATGGGCGCATTTTCAGCATTGTGCCTTCTCAACAGTAAATGTACTATACGGGCACCAGTACAAATGCGAAATTTTACTTTTGGTTAGAATAATGAGATAGGTGCGCTGTCATAACTCGATTGCGCAACGATCGCATACTGCTAAACTAAATCTTCGAGATTTACCTCCATTCAGAAGTGCGAAATTTTAATAAAATGTTTATCTTTACTCCCATTTATGTTTATTTTACCATTTCCTTCGGTTCTATAAACATTTAGCCCGTTGCATTGTATTTGTGATTAAATCTTATTTCCGCAGATATGATAAGTATGATGAAATTGGACTTCGTTCCTTACGTCTGCTGTTTTATCCACACTACCCGAGACGAGGTGTCAGCACTGGCTATGTAAGTTTCTCATTCTGAGTGAATGTGTTTCGGACACACACTGTGTCTAGTTGACATATTTTTCTGTTTCCCGTGCTCCGCTTGTTCTCAGAGGGTTGAATACAGTTAAGCTTCTCCCGGAAATACTTCCGGACTATTTTCTTATTCTTAGTATCTAGATTTCGTTGGATGAACTTTGGTTCTCAAATAAATTATTACTCAAATCACCGATCTTACATCAGTCTTACATCCGATTGCGTTCGTTATGTTTACAACTGGTCAACGTTTCAGACTTCCCCATCTTCGTTAATGCTACCAACAAGGTTTTTCCGTCTATCGTCAGAAGATTTGCAGTCACTATTTTCAACCAACTGTTTGCTTGCATCCTTCCCCTTGTCTGCTTTCTACTGCCTTAATCCAAATTTAACCCAAATTTATCTTATTTCAGGGAAACTCTCATATCAGGTCTTAGTAACCATGTACTATGCAGTCGATCCACTTCTCCTTATAAACGATGATTCTGTAAGGTAGAAGCTGGGATAATAACTGTGTTGGATACACTGACCCAGGTCAGGATGTCCGAGTCGGTGAACCCATCATAAAATGTTTTCGCGAACGGTCGAATTGAGCGAATCGAGAAACAAACTGTCTCAGTAATCACGGAACGCTTATTTACCACCGGTCATAACCTCAACCCCAATGCATAGTTTACAGTCCTCGTGAGCAATCAAAGGCCTGACGTTTTCAGCTGCTTGATCAGAATTCACAGAATAATGGCATCATCTCAACCTACGTCTTCTGCTATTCTTATTTGCCAATACAGCTTGGTTACTTATAAAACTCATAGTAGTTCACTTGTTTCATCTTTTGATGCATTTCATTGCAGCTCCGATCAAGATAGCCCGAAGATTTATGTTTACGATGCGCGCAGCAAAAATGATCTGTTGCATACGGTGGATCGCCTGCATCTGTCTCCGGTGGTATGTATGATTGTAAGTGCATTTTTCAAGGTATATCTTCGTGTGGAATGTTTGATCTTTGGGGCGGTACATTCACACACTTGGCCTACTCCAACGTTTAACTAATGTTTACTGGCGTGGAGTGCGTCCGCTTAGATTTGTAGCGTGGAATGTAATTCATTGCCATCCTTCGGCGTCTGTTCGCGTTTATCTTTTCGGAAATCGCCACCGACTGTTCAATTGGGTTTAGGCACTCAACCTTGATTCAGGACGCAGGACGCAAACAAGAAGTTCGGAGGAACTGTGATGACTGAAAATCATGTGCGCTATACTGAAAATGGCTATAGGTCAAACACTACATGGAATTCAAAATCCCCATTAGTTTTTCGAATGGGCTCTGTCTGAAGAGTTATGTGATCACACATGTGACTGATTTCTTTGCCCAACTCAGGAAGGCTTCATGAACCAGCCCGGTCGAATCACTCATTTGACTTCTTGTTTCTTTAAAGATATCATGGCGACTTGTTACCCGGATGCGACAATGATAAATGGCACACTTTATGGCAGCCGGCTGACAAACTTATGAAAGCATGTGATAACTGGTACTGGAGATTATCTTCACTGTGAAAGTAAACAGAGGGGTTCAGTCCTAGAGGTTCATTTTGATGCTCCCACAAATGAAGGACTTAGCCTCACAATGCCAAGAGAACAAGAAGAGACAGCTGCGGGTCTATACATTCACACATGCTTGGCGACATCCGGTTTCAGATTTGCCTGTCACTGTGGCCAGCCACAGAACACCTATGCCTACAGAGTGACCATGGGTGGCTGGCGCTGCACCACCCACAGTTCCACCCACACACCCCATTTCCAGTGTAAGCCCGAAGGAAAAAGACCGGGAAGCATGTGGATGGGAGCCAGGTTTCATCAACGGAGCTGGCCCACACTCCTTCACAGACAAACACAAACACGCTGTATTTGGGAATCTATCATACACAAGGCGGTGACTGCACCGTGGTCCGCTCCACACCGAGTGCATGGAACCGCTCTTCGAGCCTAGCACGACCACAAGGACCGTGCACGCCATCCCCTCCAGCAACGACCAACTGTCTCCTGGAGCCAGTATGAACGAGGTAGTGGGTAATAGACAGGTAGGCACCTTGTCAACATGCACATCAAGCGCAACCACACCTGGGATGTCAAACAACAGCCAATCACTTGAAATGACATTATCGAATAAAATATATATGTTAAAGCATACGGTTATGCCAACATAACTCTTAGCTAAATTGACATGCAAGTTGGTTTGCAACGAATCCGCGATAAGTACAAAATGTCCACGAGTTACTCCAAAAACGCCACAAACGCGCTAAAGTTAACGAAGATAACCACGATTAGCGTAAGCAACGGGTGCAAGTTAATAGATTATTCAGCTAGGCAGAACAAACCAAATAAAGTGGAGTGAAATTTATCCCGCTTAAAAAGACCTAGTTTAAGTGCAAGTTGGTTTAGCCCAACTGCGGTGAAGAAACATCATGAATGCAACATCAACCTCAGCTTGGGACACTATATATATATATATATATATATATATATATATATATATATATATATATATATATATATATATATATATCGTATGTTGGTATGTCGACAAACATTGCTAATCCCCTGCTTATCAATATTCTTCATGCTGGACCTACATCTTATAGTTATAACCCTTTGAAGCCTTTGAACGACTATCCAACTACTGTCGCAAATAACACGCAGTTGATCGTTTCGCTCCAAACACGTAACTATGCCCGGGCTCTTTTCTTTGGTTCTCTGGATTTCCTCTCTGATGGCTTTCTGACCAGTAATGTAGAAAAATTTGATTCAACTGTCCGGTGAGTTTGTGTTTCATACAATATGCCTTCTGAAGCCATTTGGACCTCATCTTTGAACTCCATGCTGATCTCAGAAAATTTAGGTTTATTTTTCTAGACTTCGTATTCCAAAAGAGCATTTTACGTGTGTAAAATGCTAGCTATCCTGTGAACCTGAACTGCGGTTGTTTCCCCAAATACAGCGTGCTTGTGTTTGCCTGTGAAGGAGTGTGGGCCAGCTCTGTTGATGAAACCTGGCTCCCGTCCACCTGCGTCTCGGTCTTATTCCTTCGGGTTTACACTGGATATGGAGTGTGTGGTTGGAGCTGTGGGTAGTGCAGCGCAAGCCACCTCTGGTCCCTGTAGACGCAGTTGTGCAGTGGCTGTCCTTGTGGAGGCCGCAGTGACAGGCAAATCCGGAACCGGATGCCCTAACTATTATATATATATATATATATATATATATATATATATATATATATATATATATATATATATATATATATATGCTTCAAAGTACCTAACATTGTGTCAATCACTCGTCTCGTATACCCACTTGTATCTCTTTTCTCCTTCCATACCATGATTCTCTCTGGGTAATTAATACGATTTTTGGGAGAACCCCCAGACGAATTCATGTTGTTTATACTCCGTTGCTGTTTCCTCACATCAGCTGATCTTTCGATCTGCAACTTCTAGTCACCTTGACAACGCGCGTGCGCTTTGCCGCATTGTTTATTCGTCACATGGCAGGTGCCGTTAGCGCCTGTATCACGGTGGCTAGACGTCTTGTGATCACGTAATCAGCCTTGTACAAACACTGGAGTGAATATGTTAGTCGATATGCGCTTCTAATTGTTGTGATGGTGGTAGGCGTATATCGCGAAATAGATAATTAGGCCTCATCCAGCAAAAAGCATTTGACTATGGTCGTCAGGATAACTGTACCACGAACTCTCGCAAATTGGCTATAGCAGCCCATACCATTCGAACAAAGGCTGTGGTTGCAATGAGCGTCCCTGGGGAACCAAACGATGATATGTTCAGGATTGCCTCCTAACTAACCTGAAAGTCAGTGACATTTGTTGAGGACTGCACTGTGCTATTGCTACTCTACACCTTATTCCCGTTGTGACTCTCGGACCCCGAAGTGCGGTGTGGATCTAGCTTCCATGACCAGTCTAACAATAATTACCAATAATGAATATGAGGGGAAGGCCAAATTGGATACAGAGAAAACGAGGTTTAAAAGAGCGTGCAATTAATTTGGATGGCATATTCATAGCTCAACACATGAAACTGTATGTATCAACGTCGCTGACTCTCGGATTGCGCCACATCGAATGGAGTCCCCAACGACTGATGTTGCCTATCCTGAGGCTCTCTATTCACAAAGTTAATACTTGCGAGATGTGGTGGAACCAACTGGCATTGCTCATGTTGCAATGATAATGACAATAGTGATTCTAGGTGAATGGATAAAAGTTAACATCATCAGGTAACATCGTGGAGCAAATACAATTACGCCTGCAAGCAGCTGTTCAAGAATACGCTCGCTGATAACTGAACTTAACTTGCTCCTCTGAAATGTTGTTAATTTCTCTCTTTTGTTTTATAAAATTACATGCTGTGTGCCTGAGTTTGGATAACCTAAGGGTGCCGATTCGGCTTCCTATCTGTCTATTTCTATTTGAAGTGTCCAATTCGGGACAAAACCGGTCTTGCAGATATACTGGTTTGTTCGGAAAATAATTTCGTTTCTTCGTTCTATTTTATTATTTTTTTCACAACCAACTTCACACATAATCCGCATAATCATTGTATATTTTGACAGGTATAGCGAGGCTTGCTTATGCAAAAGTTCGATTGTTTCTATATAGTAATTTTTGGTCGGTGCTTTTTCACTTATTGAAATTGAAAGCAACATTTTCGGCATATTTGCCTTCTTAACTATCGAAAAGGTAGAAATGCTGTTCACGCAGAAAAGTTATTGGATGTGTGTGGAGATTTGTTAACAGAACGCCAGTAGCAAAACTGGTTCACAAAATTTCGATCCGGCATTACTTAATTAAATAACTACTTGCGTTAATTGATTAATTAACTGCATTAATTAATTGGCATTAATTGCTGCAAACCGGCGACTAACAACTTGTGAGATCGCTGAAATTAAATTTATCACATTCGACCATTTATGATCATTTGAAACGCGTAGGTTTATTTTCCAAACTTGACGTATGCGTTCCTCATGTTCTTACGGAAAGAAATTTGTACCATCGCATTGACGTTTGTGGTTTGCGCCTCCAACGTCAAGAAAATGATCCATTTTTGTAGCGCATCATCACTTGGGACGAGAAATGCTTTGTCTACAACATTATTAACCACAAGAGATCATGGGGTAAAAAAGATTATCAGGTTCAAACCACTTCGAAAAGCCGATATTCATCAAAAAGGTGATGCTATCTGTTTGGTAGAATTTCAAAGGAATCGTTCTCTTTTGAGCTTCTACCGGACAACACAACGATCAATTCTGAAGTGTACACTGTCATCAGCTGGACAAATTGAGTGAATCACTTAAACACTAAAAGCTAGAATTGATTAACAGAAAAGGTGTAGTGTTCCACCAAGGTGATGCGAGACCTCACATAAGTTTGCTAATTCGCCAAAAGCTTTTACAGCTTGGATGGGATGCACTGCCACACACACCATATTCTCCAGATTTGACACCTACGGATGATTATTTGTTTTTCTTTATAAACTCTTTAGGCGGTAAAATCTTTACTTCAAATGAGGTCCAAAATCAAGTGGATAGGTTTTTTGCCAGCAAAGAAGAACAGTTTATGAGCGTGGAACCATGCTACTGCCAGCAACATGGCAAAAGCTATTGGACCATGATGGATAATATATAATGCAATAGACTATTTATTCACTATATGAAAGTCGTGCTTCATTTTTATACCAAAACGAAATCACTTTCCGAACAACCTACCATATATGTGCAAGTCCGAGAGCAGACATTCGTCTGTTCTAAGAATCATGGCTGTAAACAAATGTAGAACGGTTTGTTCAACAAGCAAAACAGAACGGCCTTTTTTCTTTTTTAGTGTTTCACACAACCGTTTTGAATATTTTCCGTTTAAAATTGAAATTCTGGTTGTGAACCATAGCCTC